TTATCCGAGTTAAAACGATATACTCTCGTTAATTACTGTACTTATATTTTAATTGAAACTACGTCTAGCTACTAAATTTGCGTGTATTTTAAAACCTATATTGTTTAAAAGTATTTATCATCGTTTAAAAACCACTGTAAATAGAGTCATCATTATAATTATTCTGATATAATTTTCTGATCCGCCATTCTAGCGCGGCACTATAAAGTTAGTTTAAAGTACTGATCCACGGGGAGGTTCGATAAAAGTAGTCATTAGTTCACCGACTTGCCATAAATAAAATCGAGCCAACCACCGGTTAATTTCATTCCTATTTTACCGACTGATCAAAGTCCGCACAATTAACGGCGAATTCAAAACCCTGTATATACGTTATTAGTGTGTGTTAACTATTATTGATAAACTGTTTTTTTATTGTTTCTCTACAAATTTGGTCTCACTGTCATTTTAAAATCCTACCACAAAGTTAATTCTGAGGCAGTTAAGCATAAATTAGGGTAATTAGCTTCACTAATTATCCTAGGCTCCGTCTTTCGGCATTGTGAGAGGAAGTAATACTTCCTGGAGCGGATCCTGGATCGCTGAGCTTAAGCAGTCAAAAAAAATACTTCACTCTCACCTGAGTCTGTTCTTTACTATATCAATTATTATTATTGAATAAAAATAAATAGTCAATTAAACTATGAAAGTCAGTCAATAATTAACACTGTAATTAGTAGTTTAATTGATAGTGCTCATTTTTGGAGTTGTGAAAAATTTCTCGTAAGATTATATTTAACCAGGAAGTAACCGTTACAAATTATATATGGTAACAGGAATGATTAATCAAGTTACGTATTATGTTAACAATGCAGCAGCAAATAATGTTGAATGTTAGCATCAAAAGTATGGCCATCTTAATTACCGTGATTTACATATGTTACAGGTTAAAAATTTAGTAATTGGTCTTAATTTAAAACGACAACATACGGTAGAATACCTCCCACAAGAAAACGGTATGGCAGAGAGTGCAAACCGAACTCTTGTTGCGATGGCGTGATCAATGTTAATTCAATCAAAATTACCGAAACTCCTGTGGACAGAAGCAGTACATACAGCCGTCCACATTTGTAATCGATGTTCAACACATGTTTTACAGTACAAAATGACACCTTTCGAGTGCTGGTATGGTTATAAGGCAGATGTCAGCGGACTCCGATTTTTTGTTAGTACAGCTATAGCTTTAAAGAAAGGACCAAATCAAAGTAAATTTGAACCGAAAGAAGAAGAACTTATTCTAGTAGGCCATTTAAATGAATCAAAAGAATATAGACTATACAACGCCAATAAAAAAATAATTGTTAACAGACACGACGTAATATTTCACGAAAAACTTAAATTCCTGGCAACAGATGAGCAAGATAATAAAAATAGTGTCGAAAACAAAGATGTACAAAGACAAGTTGAAACAAGTGAAAAATCTACTACGTGGTCAATAGCTTTCGTCCACATAATGACAATCAAGACTGTTGAGAACCGGTAATCGAGAAAGGCCGAGAAAAATTTATCAAGACTTCGCTTCCCTGGCAATGGACAAACTAGATCCACTAACGATTAACGAAGCCAAATGCACTAATAACTGGAATAAGTGAAAAAAAGCTATGCAAGAAGAGTACAATTCTCTTATAGAAAATGGCCCTTGGAAACTAGTTTCCCGACCAGATAAAAGAAAAGTCCTCGCATCCAGATGGGTTTTCAAAACAAAAAGGAACCAAGATGGTCGCATTGAAAGATTCAAAGCAAGACTAGTAGCAAGAGGATGTGAAGAAATTTTCAGTATTGACTATGACGAGGTATTTGTTCCAGAAACAAGGTATGAGACGGTTCGCACAAATTTAGCCAGTGCTGTAAAGAATGAAATATACGTACATCAAATGGACGTAATAGCTGCCTATGTTCAAGGCAATTTATCAGATGTGCTGTTCATGGAACAACCAGAAATGTTCATGGTACTAGGAATAAAAGACAAAGTGTGTAAATTGAAAAAACCACTATACGGATTCATGCGTTTTTACCAAACTGGAAGTTAATATCAAGATTATTATCGCCATTTATGTCGACGATCTAGTAATTTGTTCGAAAAGACGGGAAAACCTAGTTGGAATAAAGAATGTGTTGAAATGACTCCTGGCAAAGAGGTTTATTTCCGCGCCAGGAGAAAGAGAAATGTTAAGGATAAAGGTGAAGATCTCTGAGGGAGACAATGTATAGTTGGAATACTCATACAGTGAATAAGGGGACTCCTGGATATTTTAGAGATTGAGAAGGATCTCTAGGGAATAGGGATAGTGTTCTGACTTCGAGTCGGCCGGACGAGCAAACTAAAAACTAGTGGACTGTAATGAATAAGAGCAGAATAAAGAAAAAGGTTGGATGCTAGAAGGTTCCTTAAAAAGAGTTTATTAACACCAAAACTGTATGGTTTTTTCACTTTTATTAACGATTAACAATTACTAGTACAATAGAAAGCACTAATCTCTAAGGTTCATTGGGTTGTCCGTAATTCAACTATTTCTACACTTGTGAATTATCTGCTGGTCAATGTTTCACCAAAAAACGTCCCAAAACAGTGGATAGCAACATTTACGGTATACACCAGAGTTGTTCGGGTGTGCGATGTATATGTGAATGTCCGTGAGGCACTATGGCGTCGACGCCAGTTCAGCTTCGCGCCCAAAGACACTACAACTGACTGTACTGGACCACTGGCATTGATGAGATTGATGATGAAGCTTCAATTATGTTCACTAGAGTTGTCTGAGTCTGTTTGACCGTAAATTTAACTACAACGGGTAAGCTGACTGCAAAAATCTGCGATTTGACTGCGAAAGGTTGTACAGAGATGACCGCGCGATTTGCCTGGAGCTAACTGACGCCACAAGTGCTCGACCGCGTACTTGTTGGCGTCACTAGGGCCGTAGAGTTGCCTTCTGGGCCATGAGGGAAATACTTCCCGATGATTGGTCCAGTGAGTTGACTGACGCGCCGGTGGACAAGTCCGGCATTAACAATTTTCGAATATTCTGAGACTTGCTGACTTGGGGCCCTCCAAGTCAGAACAGATAGTTAATTTAAGGGATGAGGAATGCACTAGGAAGCGCGGGAAAGGTTGTATGAGGTCTTTCTCTGTCTGTCTTTGTCCTGTTTCATCTATCTCGTTTACTTCGAAGAAGTCCTCGTCAGGTTCGAGAGCTTATGAATTTTGATGAGGAATAGCTTGGGTATTCCAGGGTCTTGGCGAAGAAAAAGTCAATTATATTTTTGGATAGGTATTTTTCTGCGTGTAATCGTGTATATATAACACGCATATAGTTATGCGTGTTCTCACCTACCTTTATCTTCCTCGGTGGTAGAGCCGGTGTGATTGAGGAGAGACGACGATGAGCAAGAAGAAAGAAAGCAACGATTTTAATTGAATTAATAATTAAATTAATATTAATCAAATTGAATAGATTTTAATTAATCGAGATAATAAAATAGCAAAGCGACGATGAAAAACCCACACAGCGTCGGCGTGTAATACCGATCCGTCGGCACGCGATGTTAATGCAAAGGGTGTACGTTGTTTCCAGTATTCCTTAGCCGCCCGTTAATACCTGTAAGTATGCATGCAAAGTGGGCAGGAGGATGTTATCCCTTGGGAATTGTCTTTCACGTGAGGTAATATTAACAATCTGTTTATTTATTGCTTTATACACCTATACGCAGGATTTTACCAATCCGCGACCTGAAGCGAACCTGCTTTTCGCATGAATTACAAAATATATAACTTAACAGTCTAATTGAGATTATAATAATAACTATGAACAATTCAAATAAATTATAATGATCGTACAAATCTCCGGAATACTAGCCGGGCACGAGAGGGACAAAAGATTAACAGTTGCCAGAAGGGCCAAGTGATATCAATAATAATTATAATAGTGTATTACAATTAATTATGGCGCAGCTCGCCCTATGCCCTTACAAAAGGTACAGAAATGATGTACGAGCTCACCGTGATGATATCAAACGAGGAAATCCTGGGATGCCGCAGTGATTCCTTCCGTCGGATGATAGTACCCTTGGGTGTCCTTCGACTGCTTCTCTCGAGTTCTCAGCGGCTGCAACGTGTTCGGCGACTCTCTCGGTAAAGGAGGTTGTGCGGGAGACTGCCTGGCATCTCGACCTGTATGTCCGTCCAACTCGTCCACCTGGATTCAGCTACGATGCTTTCGGCGATCGGAACTGAGCGCGTGACACGATTCACCGTTCTCGGGAACAATAAACTTAATTAAGCGGACTATGACGTTACTACACGACTAACTGCGTGCGCGATTGCTTGCTGACTGGCTCGCCGCTAACTCTAATGCTGAGCAAAGACTGCTCTGAACTGATTGCTACCGCGTCGTGCGTCGAGGTATATAGTCCCGTTTTGGCGGGATCCCCCACCATGCGTTGACTCCGCCTCTTTGTGCGGCAGCTCGTGAGGCTTTGCCCACTTGCCGCATGGCGGCTCCACCGACCGGTTCAAGGAACCCATCTTGCGGCCAGGCGGCCAAGTTCCAAGCCGGCCATCACATAATCATCCCGCCAGTAACGTAACATGGCGTTTCAGTAACCTTTTACCGCGCTTTCTATTGTAACGTTTTCTAACTAAAAATTATCTTTGTTTGCTATAATTATTAATAAATAACTATTTGTTTATAAATAAATCTTATGTGGTTCGCCCTTTTTCCTTACGGCATCCCCACATTTGCTTGACTGAACCGCTGCTCTGCTGAATGTTGTTGGAAGTTGACCGTCAATTGACCTTGGCTGGTAAAACAGGCCTCTGGTGTGTCGGTCATAGGTGTCGTGTCTGTTAGCCATAGATGGCGTGGTTGCTGGAACAGTGAATGTTTTTCTCCCCGAGAGGGCGACATGAGTTTGCTGTCTTGAAAGTTTGTCCCGTCCGGCATGGATGGCGCCACTTGTCCGAAATGGACAATGATTCCACTCGTCTTGTGACAGTGTTAAGCACAATTTTCAAAATGAAAGATCTTGGAGCAGTAAATAACATACTAGGTATCAACATTAAGCGAGACAGCGAAACTGGCAGCATAAAATTAAGTCAACCTAGATACATCGCAGACTTGTGCATAAAGCTCGATATGGAAAATTCAAATGCAGTCGACACGCTATTAAAAACTGGTTCAAAACTAACGAAAAATATGTCCCCAGAAGAAGTGGAAGAGATGAAAAATAAGCCATACAGATCTCTCATTGGGGCATTGGTCTATCTGTCAAACACAACAAAACTAGACATTGTCATTGCGGTCAGCCTTTTGAGCTGTTTCTGTTCCAATTCTGGAATTTTACACTAGAAAGCAGCTAACAGAATATTACGATATTTGAAAGGTACCCAAGAATTAGGAATTACTTACAACCAGTGCGGGAAACCCTTATTGGCTTACTCTGATGCTGATTGAGCTGGTGACCTATGAACGGAAATCAACTTCTGGATATATTATGACGTTAGCAAGCGGACCAATAAGCTGGCAAATGCGTAAACAAAAATCAGTGGCACTTTCGACAATGGAAACAGAATATATGGCCCTTTCAGATGAAGCTAAAGAAGTTATTTATCTGAGAAAATTAATGGTAACAGTCTGATTAAATAAGTTTGTTTTGGGAGCAACTACACTCTATTGCGATAATCAAAGTGCAATCCACCTAAGTAAAAATTTTCTATATCACGGTCGGAGTAAACATGCCTTGTTTCCCTGTCCTGAGAAGGACATTTTATTTGAGTATCTCGCCTTATAGGGCATAACTCTGGGAATGGCTCTACCTCTAGTGACGGCGTTACTTGAGACGTAATATTCTTGCGCCTTTAAAAAGGCACGAGGATACACGTATCTAGCCCAAGGCCTTGCAACATACCACTATGAGTCCAACCTCAATTGACCGAAAGCATCCGGTTCTCTGCATGTCGTTTCTCTACTTTCCAGCCCCGAATGCGGGCTTGGATTTTGGTCTCCCGTAATACCAGTTTTAGCCGTTTCGATCGGCGGCCCTAGCTCTTTATGGTGTGAGGGAAGCACCGTTATATTGTCAATAGCTGAGAGAAAATGTTTAGTGTTAGATGTTTCCTGAAATATATAAAAGTTTTATTATTAACTTCCCAGTGGGAAGTTATAGTAATGGGTCCGATTTTGCGAACCCCGAATTTTGACATATCTCCACGTTTTAAGGTCCCCGGAGGCGAATACGACCGTTTTCCAGTGGACGTGTGTGTGTGTACGTATGTGCATTCGGGATTATTTTTTGCCTCGATTATCTCGAGAACAAAAAACGATATTGACGTGGAACCAACTACATTCGACACGTAATTGCGCAACTTAGAACAAATTAGATTTTCAGCAAAATTGGTTTAATAGCTTTTTATGCAGAATCAAAAAACTAGAAAAAATGTGTGTGAACTACCTGAATTTTGAAATTTATAAATTATATCATTTTTTGGACAAAATTATGAGATCTTTTGGAAAATATGAATATTAAATATTTGTAATAATTGTATAAAAATATGATGACAATATTTCATCGAAAAAACAAAATCAGCAATGAAAGAATGTTAAACTCGTGTCAGGATTGAAAAAACAGCATTACAGACGCTGTCATAGTCAATAATAATTGTTAATAATATGGAATTGTGCCCATAAAAATTGAACATTGTTACTAACAAATGATTATTGATCGTGGTAATATTTAAATAAAAAGTTTTAAATTGTTATAAACAATAAAAATAGGGATCCATGCTATATATGTATATAAGTACTTTTAACGCATTTTTTTTTCTTTTATTAAAAAAATATTACCAACCGTATGACATAAATGAAAACATACTTTTTCCGTTTATAACAATGAAATTTGTTGTAAATAATAAAAAAAAAAAGATCTATGAGGTATATTTGAATTCTTCTAACGCACAATTTTTTCTTTTACTGAAATGAAGTAACTAACCATATCAAATGAATAAAAACACACCCATTTTGTTAATAACAATTCCATTTGTTATAAAGAATGGAAACAGGTTCTATTCGGAGTGTTTTCTCATTTTTTTCACTGGGAAGTTGGTCGTGTGGACCTTTCGGGTCGCACCCAGACCACTGCGGAGCACTAATATTTGTTTTTCTTATTGTTATCAAAGATTGTTTAAGTGAGAAATCCCTATCGGTTCGATCCACAGGGTACAGGTGTTCTGCGAAGGTTGCAGGCCTGCAACCCGTGCCTGAGTGTTCCGACAACGCCCAGGTGTGGATCAATGAAGTTCACTAGTTATGTTTTTACAGAGCTGGCAATGACCTACTACTTCTACGGGGCGGAGGGTTCTGTGTGTTGGGCATTGCTGCTCCCGTTTGCGCTACCCTCCTCTTTTCTCTTATTCCCTCACGGATTCTTCTAATTTCCTCGAACAATTTTTCCGCCCATGCCTTGACGAATTGTTCGAGGGCCTTTCATGTGTCCTTTGTTTGGACAAACTTTGGCACTATTCTAGGCCATGTTAAGCTGAGGTCAACGTTTGTTTCCGAACGTATGACCAATATGATATCCGTACGTTTATCTCTATATGCAGGAACGGCTCCACTGTGTCGTCGTCTCCTCTATTGCAATTGGGGCAGGTTGGATCTGTTTTGGTGGCATATTGTGCACGAAATATGCCATGTCCTGTGAATATTGGCGTCATTAAGTTGTTCAAGCGTATCCATTTATTATCAAGCCTGTCTGCTATATTCGGAAAGAAATAGTATGTTTTGCGACCTGGCTCAGAAGCATCCTATTCTGCCTGCCATATTCGTATTGTTTGCAATCTGAGGTTCATTATCGGCGTCGATGATTCTTCTGACGTGTTGTCGTTTAGGGAGATCCTAGTGATGTTGGACGTTACTACTTCATCGGTACAAAGTGTATATCGTGCATTGAGATCGTCGATCGCTATGCGTATAGGCGGGACGCCCACCGCCACGCAAAGGCCATCCCTTGAATGCGCGAGCATGCGCAGCGACTCCCAAGACGCTCCTCTGTGCGGCCGCAAGCATCAGCGAATCTTTAGCATTGCACAAATCGCTCCATGTCGGGGACGCATATGCAATCACCGGCAGAAAGCACCCCCTATATATGGTTAGACTGGTGTGATAAGTAAGTCACCAACGAATTCGCGAAAGGCGTCTTATTTTATGGTGTTGAGAAAATCTCAACTTGTGAATTAACTCAACCGTTTAAAGATAGGGATGATTATGCCGGAACAGAGCAACCGGAAGTCAGGTTCTATAAACAAATATAATATCTTTACTTTCAGCACTAACAGGTACACAATATACACTAAATGATCTTTTATGTCTGAATACAAGAATTGAATGTCTTTAAAAATTCACAGAATGTCACTTGTGGTTACTGAATGTTTGAATTGAATGTCCAACAAAATGTTCAACTTGATGTGTTCGGTATTATTGACCTCCTACACGAGCTCAGCACGCTTCTCAAGTTGATCGAGAATATGATTGTGCACGTGGCGTTAGCCTATCTATGCAATGCAAAATGAATTTATTGTACTTTCTTGAATCTACTATGAATTGTCTTGAATTATTAGTTGATTTTTATTGTCGACTGAAACTTGAATATTTCTGATGATTCACAATAGCACTAGCACTAATGATTGATTCAAAACTTTAAGATTTTTTTGAAAGGAATGTAAATGGCGTGTACACGTGAACGATAACAGTGAAAGAATGGTGACAGGAACTTCATTAGTCACAAGGGACACTGAAAATTAGTCAAATGAGTGACTAGATTAAGAATTATTGATTATTTGGTCGATTGGTTATCGACCCAGTCCCAAGACGGCCGCCGAAGTTCCTGGCAGATGGCAAATTCAAACTGAGAATTAATTAATTCTCAACACATGGAATAACTTTTCCGCTTGCGCCCGTCGTTTATGAATATGTGTGGAAATGTTAAGGTCTCTGCCGAACCAGACCCCCAGGTACCTAACCACTTCTGGGTACTTTATTTTATTACCCCCTATAGTAATCTCAGGCGGTTTACATTCATGCCTGTCTTTCTTTCTTCTGAGGTGTGGTTTATATTCTCGGTAGCTGGGATTGTTTTTATCTCTGTAATTCCTCTCGCCTCTAAGTTTGATTTCTCTCTTCATGAAGATTGCCTCCGTTTTAGTTTTTGATAACTCGAGCTTGGCATTCTTACACCAAGTGAGTATTGTGTCAACGACTGCCCGTCCTTTGGCTTCAAGGCTTTCCCTAGAATTGCCATCTATGATGACAATTAGATCGTCTGCGTACACTGCATAGCGTTTTCCATGTTCAGATTTTGCATTACTTTGTAGATATTTTTAGTGCAGTTTTGTGACTTTAGTACTTCGAGGACTAAAGGCCACCATATATTATAAAACGTGCCCAAGATTTCGAAGAGCAATGCAACCACTTAACGTTCTGCGGACTCTTGCACCGCTCTTTGCACTGTCAGTATCGCATCTACCGTTGATCGCCCTTCCATAAATCCATATTGGTGATCTGAGATGTTTCCTTGTTTAAGGATGCTAGTTGAAAGACGAATTTTTATAAGTCTTTCGAAGATTTTGCCTAGTACTGATAAAAGACTTATAGGTCAGTATGATTTGGGGCCCGCTACATCTTTGTCGGGACTCTTTAGGAGCATACGAATTGTTCCCCCCTTCCAAGCCCAAAAGAAAGACGCCTTGAGACAAGCATTCGTTGAATAATGTTAGAAATTTTTCGAGGAGGTACGCGATTGCACGTTCAACAACCTCCACTTCCAGCAAGTCTTGCCCTGGAACTTTTCCGTTCTTAAGCGTTCGGACAACTTGCTTGAGTTTTTCTTTATTGAATGGCTCTGCATCATTTGTGCTAGGTAGGTTGAGAACGTTTCTCTCTGTCCTGCTCTGTTCATCTGTATCAATTTCTGGATGGTCGTCGACCACATGTACTGCCAGCAATCGCTCGACTGTTTCTTGAAAATTTAGGGTTCCATTACCCTCTTCAGTGCGGAGTGCATTCATAACTTTTTCAGCGCGCATCTTGTGGGCCGCAATCTTGTATACCACACCCCATTTTTTCTCGTTTCCGTGGGTTGTGACGAAGTTTTTCCGGCTCTTTGTTTTCGTTTTTTTTATCGCTTGGGAGTACCTTCTTACCTGCTGGCGGTATCGAAGTCTCGGTGTCGTGATTCGGTGAGTATCTGCACCAAGCGGTGGGTATCTATGGCGCACCCTATATACACTGCGCTCTAATCGGGACAAGTGGTTGTTCCACCAGGGATTCGCTTTCCTTGGTGCTTTTCGACGCGGCATGGATTCTTCGCAAAGATCTGTTAACTCATTTGCGAGGGGGTCAGCGAATCCATCAATGTTCATCAGAGAGTCCAGCAACGGTCCAGCGGGAAGTGTGCTTCCTAGCTCGGGCATCAACCTACCAAAGGCTTCCCAATCAGCTGCTTTGACATTGAACCGTCAGAGTGCCTCCGTGTAAGTTTTACCCTGCACTCCACTTTGACCAAGCTGGATTCCGATAGCCATGTGATCTGACCCCTGAACCCACTCTCTTTCGACTGACTATTTGCTAAGGGACTGTGACAGT